CTAAACTATTTAATACCGTATTTTAAACATATATATTTGTCCACGTGGACATAAAAAATAATGCAATATTATAAATAGTAATGTGTCCACGTGGGCACATATATACCTTTAAAATACACTATTAAATAGTTCAGGGTGTAAAAAATACGGTATTAAATAGTCTAGGGAGGTAATAGGTCCTTATGAATGTTTAGTGTCGCAACAGCAAATCCGACCAAAGTTGGGGTATTTTTTAGACCCTTATCCCTTTATATTATAATAAATAATTGATTTGACCTATAGCAACAATTTAACTTTAAAAAAAGAATTTGACAAAATCGCTGTTGATTTATTAAATTTTTACTCTTTTTTTAAAATAAAACCGCTGCTATAGCAGCGATTTTTATTTCTTTTAACCGAACGGCGTCAATATTTGTCAGAAGAAAATCGCTCCGTCAAGAGCGATTTTGCCCTTTTGGTTAAAAAAAAAGTTGATGTGCCGTTTTTATTTTTTGAAGGAAAAAAGTTACCCTTTTGGCTCTGAACTCGGGTAAAAATAAGGGAGAAACCTTTCTTTTTTTTCCCATTGAACCCTGATAAAATTGGATTCACACAGAAAGTCTCATATTTGGGGTAAAATGTTCACTAACAAATGTGACTTCGTTTTCAGGTGGACTCAAATCTAAGATATCTGGTTAAGAATGAAAGAGTACTAATCAATCCACCACAATTCTTCGGAAGGGAGAAAGTTTTTTGTCAGGCCGTGGGTTATAGCTCAATTCTTTTTCCTTTTTGTTTTTTTGTTTTTGTCTCAATCCTAGAACATTTATTTTTATTACATTTAATAGGGAAATGAGAGGTTTAATGATTTTTACCACTACTAATCCTATAATGTATAAACTTAAACAATATCACAAGCTCAAAGGCCTTAGCATATACTCCCTCCGTCCCATTTTATATATCATCACTTTCTATAAATAGTTGGACCATAATACTTGTCATTTTATAAAATTTATGCATAAATTACCATATTTTGTTTATTATACCCTTAATAGAGTAGTTAATTAATCTTGAAAATGTATTTATCATTTATTATAAAGTTGACTTAAGAAAACATTAAATAAGGGTAAAAGGGTAAAGTTACATCATTTCTTAATACAAGTGCAAAGTAAAAATATGACATATAAAATGGGACGGAGGGAGTAGTTTTATAGGTTAGGCTTATGGAGTTATAAGCAACCAAGAAACAATTGGGGAGTATAGTGTAGAGGATCAAGTAGTATTTATTTAAATAATCTTCTTAAAAAATTTAAAAAACTATTATTGTTTGTTGCTTGAAGGCTCGATAATGTCTATTTCACCTCTTCTTTCTATTTTCATTTCAATTGATTAATTTCTTTCTTTACGCCAACATTTAATTCATCAATTATTGTATTTATGATTTTCCAGTTTAGTTTGCATTTTTCAGATAGCCAGAACCGGACGTTGATTTAGATATGCTACTCACTTGCAATTAACTTTGTGATGTAATAGCATAACAACTTTTTTGCACTATTAATGTATGTTAACTAAATTTGAAAAATGATTCGTGATATATCATAAAACAGAAAAGCACTTTAAATGGAGTTGCTTTTTCCTTGATCAAAAGTTTCAGATTCAAGTCTCAAATATAGATAAAGAGCGTTTTTCCTAAATGAGACTTCCCATATTTCCAAAGCTATGTGCGGGTTCGGAGAAGGGCCGAATACGAAGGGCTTATTTCTCTTTATTTCATATCACTCTGCAACCCACAGTCCATAATCCACACACACGCACAACCCTTTTCTTGTCAGGAGTCAGGACCCACTCTTTTTTCTCTCGTTCTCTTCAATTTATCTGCGCATTCACAGTTGGCCACTATCGTCCATGGCTTACTATTACACTCTGTATTGTACTGATGAAAGCAAAATATCATAGCTCCACAGCAGTCAATTTTAGGGCTTAATGGACTTAGACACCAGACCCCATCACCGCACAGCAGCCGTTACAAGCAATAGTACAACTAGTGAGCTCTTTATTTGCTTTACTTCTCGTCTTTCTTCTTCTTCTTCATCTTCTTCCATGAAATTTTCTAAATCAATTCTTAGTCCTGGCCGTGCACGTGATGGGCCTCTTTCTCTTCCCACTTCTCTCAGCCGGAGACTCAGAGCAAATGGGAGCTTAAAAGGCGGTCAAGCTTCTCCTATGTTTCCGGCCACCGGGAAGAAACGCGGGTCGGGTTTTGAAAACCCGGAACCTACTTCTCCGAAGGTTACTTGTATTGGTCAGGTTCGAGTGAAGACGAAGAAGAAGGTGAAACAGACAAGGAGTTTGTCGAAGAGAAGAAGTGGAAGCGGTGAGGTTAGTTTCAGAAAAATAGAACAAGCCACTGAGGCATTTAGTCAAACAGATGATAGGCTATTGTTAAGGAATCAGAGATACTCGCAAGGGAACTCGAGTGTGCATTATCAGCAACAAGAATGTGTTTCTCATAGAAATCAAAGATGGGTTCATCTTCCATTGACGATATGTGAGGCTTTGAGGGCTTTTGGTGCTGAGTTTAGCTGTTTGTTCCCTTGCCGTTCGTCGTGTTTTTCGACGAACGAAAGGGAAAAGGAAGAGAAAGGAGGGGAGAATAATGAGCATAGATCGTGTGGGGCGGTTTTTGCTAGATGGTTAGTAGCAGTACAAGATGGGGAAGGAGGGAAAAGGAGGGATATTGAGTTGGTGGTAGCGAGTGGTGAAGAGGAAAGAACAGAGGAGGAGGAGGAGGCAAGGCGTAGTATAATGAGGAGTTCAAGAAGACATGTCTTTGAAGATATTGAATTTAAGGATGAGATTGTTGAAATGGAAAACGGAGGAGGTAATGGAGAGAAAGGTAGAGTGAGTATTTGTATTCCGCCGAAAAATGCTCTGCTTCTTATGAGATGCAGATCCGATCCTTTGAAAATGGCTGACCTTACTAATCGGTTCAGGGAGTCACCTGTTTTGAAAAATGAACATTATGATGATGAAGATGAAGAAGAAGATGCTGTAGAATTGGAAAAATTCGGAGAAATTAAGCGTATGGAAATTGTAGATTGTCAGAAATGTGAACCAAGTAATGAAGTTGAAGCAACGGAGAAATTGTGCAAATTGCCAGGTGAAGCTAGGCTTTCAGTAGATCTCAATGAAATGGAAGAGAATCCGGAGGAAACTGAGGTCATGGAAATAGAGGAAGAAAGAAAGCATGAAACTTGTGAATTAGCCGCAAAAATGGAGGAAGAACATGACCAAATAGAGTGTTTTGTAGCCGAAGACGAGGAGTATCTTGAACAATCAGTCCAATTGGTTAATCATATGGAAGATAATGAAGAAATTGGAAATAACCATGTTGAGGAAGAAGGAGAAAAAGGGACTATTTCGCTCCGTTTATCGTTATCAGAAAGCTCAAATAGACGAAGTATCAAAATTGAAGACGAAGAACTAGAACTAGTAACTGAAGAAGCTGCATTGGAAGAAGAAGAAGAACGATTCAAGTCAACCGTAATGAGAGAAATCGAAGAAATTCTCATGCAGGGTAACATAGAAATGAATTCCACAACGCCCCAACAAGAATCTGAACAAGAAGAACAGGTGCAAAATGACGAACAAATTGAAGAAGAGAAGCAAATTGAACAACCCAAAGAGCCTGAAAACGAAGAAAAAGAATCCGTTTTGCCTGAGTGTTTGTTACTAATGATGTGTGAACCGAAGCTATCAATGGAAGTTTCGAAAGAAACATGGGTGTGTAGAAGGGATTTTCTCAGATGGTTACCCGAAAGAAAACAACACGCCAAACCACCCAAGAAAGAGATCCCTGAAGAACAACCCAAAAGGCGGCGGAGCACTGACACTAAACCTACAGAACACAGGAACAAACACCTATTACAACCACCAAGATCATCGTGTTCTTTACCAGCAGCCACGGGGATGTCCATGACTACCATGATTGAGCAGAAACTAGTGAATGCAGCAGCTTACGAGCCGTTTGTGCTGACAAGGTGCAAGTCGGAGCCAATGAGGACAGCGGCAGCTAAGCTGACCCCGGAGAATTGTTGCTGGAAAAACAGAAAAATTGAGCCTCACCGGCCGGCTACATTTGGCGTCGGGGCAGCTGGAGTCGGGTTTTGAGCTGACCCGATTTGTTTGTTACTATTGAATACATTAGTCTAGCACTGTGTGTCTAGCTTGTACATTTTCTTTAAATGAAATTTTTTAGTTGAAATTATCAATTTTGGTTTTCGATTTTTCAGTTGGTGTCCAGTACATTCGAAAAGTTCTATATTGAGGGTGCAATAAGCATTATCTAACAAACGCAACTACATATATTAAGAGTTAAAGAAGTACTTATCACTCTGCTACGAGCCTACGACCCTCGAGGTGAACAGTTTAGTTGGTATTTTCTTTAATATACAGTCTGGAAAAAATGAATAAATAGTTATAAGGCTACTGGTCCAAATGATAATGGCAACTGTTGTCTGAATTAAGATAATTTGTTGGGGAGGTAGATAATAAGGACTGTGGATAGGTTTTATATGAATGTTTTTTTCTGATATACTGATGAGATGTCACCTCCTTCCGTTGGTGTTTCCTTTGTTTTTTTTTTCCGATTCGGATACCATTTCAAGTCTGATTAATTTGAATTTATTTATGTGTAAAGCATTCTCTCCAAAGGCGATTTCATTTCATAGTTGAAATCGAAATTTCTAATTAGTCAATGATACAGAAATACTTACCAACTTTTAATAATATCTCTCATTTCATGAATTGATCTCCTTTTTGTGTGTTATTATACTAAGGAAGATATTTCTGTCATTTTGAAAGAACTTGTTTTCCGAAAATTTTTATCACCAAAAAGTGAGAAAAATTGAAAACATTTATGATATTTTCCTCTATAGCAAACACACCCTTGATCTTACAGTATCATCTTTGTATCTTTGCTATTTTAATGTTATATTTTTTTGCAACTCTGTTTCGGATATTCCTTTTTTAAAACGAAGATCTATCGGACACAACCTCTCCATGTACCTGTTGTTTCAAAATCTTGCTCCAATAAACAAGCTAAGCAATATAATAAAGTCAATCTTTAAGCAGATGGAGAGATCGTGCAATTTCTGTACTAATTCATTAAGTAGTTCCACGTACTCATTTATATGCATCAAAACTCATAATTGAATGTCCAAAAAAACATTTGACTGTATCTTAAAATGAACAATCAAAACCAAAATTTCAATGAATACTATAATTAATAGAAATTATTAGTACTATAGTTTTATGTCTTGAACTAATCTTGATGGGGCAATCTGGATAGCCACATGATAACATGATTAATCAGTATAAGTATAATGTAAGGACAGAAATTCAATTATGCTCTAGCAATATTCACGTAAAAATAAAATCTACATACATTTTATTCTCGTCAAAAATTCATAGAGAATAGTATATGGTCGAAAAGATATTTTACATGGACAGCTGGCTTTTTTTGTATTCTTATCTTTAGCTTGTTTAAATGTCATGTGACAAGGAGCCTCTCTATTTATTTCATCAACTTTGTACCATTCTTATTATAGTTTAAACAATTCTTATACAGTTTTACCTCTTTGAGTTAATATTATTTTTGATAATTCGATAATTGGTAAATTTTAGTTTTGATTGTTGTGAATTGTGATATGGACACATCATATAAAATTTTAAAAATAATTTAAAATATTGTTTTTATCTCTTCAAATAGAAAATATATTATATATCTTGGACTATTTTTTAAAACTATATTACCTTTCACAGACATTCTAATTTTTTGTCCGTTCAAGAGGTATAAATATACACCTTCCAAAATAAGGAGAAAAACTAAATAATAACCTAATTATGATTTTTTTTGTAAATAATATAAGTCATAAGCCTTTTCCAATTAAGTCATAAGAGACTTCTTAAGTTAGTTTTTTGATTGTTTAACATAAATTTATATTTTGGTCTCAATCAATTAACTTATCTTCACTTTTATTTTTATTTGGTGTTGATAATAATATAAGTTGAGGTTAAATAAAATTAAAAATTAATATAATTTATTTAAAATTAAAGCGTAATTATAATCGTATAAAAAATATAGGAATTATGACCCGACCAAAAATTATCTTTTTAGTCAGAGATTCCCATATTTCTTTCCAACCTTAGATTATATTTGCTTTTTTCTTTTCAGTGATTGTCTTGCTTTCTCAAGTGACTCACTTTTATGCACTTTTTTTTATAAAAAAAAAAATCATAAAGAAACTTAATCCAATCGAAACCATGCAATATATGTCAATTATGGAAACAAATAAAACAAAAACCAAAAAGATAAAAAAGAAAAAAGAAAAAGCGAAATCCGCAAAAGTTAATGTTTGAAAAGGAGATGTTATTATAAGTTATGATTCGTAGCATTCTAACATTGAGTTCATCTGAATCTAACATATTCGATTCGAATGGGGCATATAATTTATATAGTATAAAAATATACAAAAATTGAAAATTCTGAATATTAAACTCATGAAATTTAAATTTTATTGGTGACATATGACTAATGGGGTCTAAAATATTTCTTATAAAATTTCATTCAAAGCATATTGCAACTCGAATTCCTTAATCATGGTGTCATATTCTGATACTCATGCCCTACTACACATGCAATTAATCTGTGCTTCAACAGATATATGGTACATATAAGATATTTAAATGATTACTTCTATTCGAAATATATACTTTAAGAATAAGTTGTTTCATTATTATTGATAAACAACAAAAAAATAAGAAAGATGAAGATTGCGTTGGTTGAAAATCAATATGAATGTAATCATCAACGGGAGAAGAAAAATGAAGATCTCGTTAAAAAAATATTTAAAATTTAATTAGAAAATGTGGAATATAATTAAAACGAATATGTCAAAGTTAGAAACATGGATTGAAATCGCATCATCAAACATCTGTGATGTATGTTTATATTGATACATTTAATTCAGATTCGTACAGCGTATGACATATGAAAAAAATGTTAAAATATATTCAAACTTTTAATTAAAGATATCAAATATTTAATTAGAAAATACGATCGAATATAATTAGAATGAATATGTCAAAGTTGGAAACATGGATTGAGTTAAATTGCATCATCAAACATCTGTGATGTATATTTATATATTGATCTGCTTAATTCAGATTCATACGAGTATGACATATGAAAAAATGGTATGTATATATTAATGTGTTTTTTTTGTATTTAGACCTTTAATTAAAGATGGAAAAGAAGAAAAACAAACGTACACAAATTTCCAGTTTCAAATAATGAATTATGATGGACAGAATTTATAGGAGTCCACACAAATTTATTTATTATTATTTGTTTGCTTTTATTATAATAAAATAAACCTTAATAAATTAAATTCATTTAATCAAATGCAACACTTTTAGTAGTATATTATTTTGTCTGATACAAAGGATCATGTATGTTTCTTCACTTTCTCTGACAAAAACAACTCCCAGGCTATTGTTTAATGTTATGTACTCGAGATTTAATAATTTATTATACCAAATTAATTAACATGAAATGAGAAATCTTTAATAACTTTTTTTTTCTAATAAAAACAACACCTAGGTGCCAGGCTGTCCTTACATGTTAAGAAATCGAAATTAAATTAAATAAAACAAGTTTTGTAAGTAATTTTGACACACTTTTTACATATATACCATTACTTGTTATGCAATATGGTTAGTAGTTTTTTTTTATATTTTTTAATTGCGTTTGATATTTATATTGCGCTGGACTAAATTCAGATTTGGTGTCCGAAAAGTATCACAAGCAAGGTAAAACGTTCTCTAAATATATCCATAGTCAAATCATGCCCAAACCCAAGATTAATTCATCTTTTAGAGGAAGCACAAGTACTCAAACATTTTGAGTCAAATTTGAATAGTTTTCTCGAAAAGATCTCACATCATTAAGAATATTCATATTAAATGCACCATATGGCAAGCTAATTTTCTCTATTTAATTGCATGATTTGTCATTCAAATGAGTTGGTCTTTAATTTTTGCCTTTAGAATCAAACATATGCCTAGCAGGATATAAGTTCTAAGTTCGTAAAGGTTCGAGACACAACTTGTAAAATATTATAATGTGAAAATATAAACGTATGTACCCGGATAAAATTAAAAACCAGCACTAAGTAGGAACAAAAGTCCAAATGACCTATTTTTCTCTTTGAAAGTAGATGTATGAAAGTTGCATTTTGCAGACAAATTTAGTCCATTGGACTAACAAAATAAATAGAGAAATTCAGCATGGGCCTTTAACTTTTTGTCCAGTAATAATTGGGCCTGCTCCATTAGCAAATGTCATTGGTTGATTTATGCAAATGACTTTTTTATAGGAGATTTTGAAATAGCAAACATAATAGATATAATAAGGCACTATAGCTTTAGTTTCGATAATTACGCTACATAGCTATAGTTCTGTTTGTTATAGAGGCTGCGGTTTGTATATTTCTGCCCATTTGTATATTTCGCTTGCTAATATACAAATAGGGTAAGTATATACAAATTCTATTTTTATACATTTAGAAAATTTCCAGAACTCCGTTTGTATATTTCACTTATCAATATGCAAACATGATAATTTATTATGAATTTTTCATAAATCGTGTATAAATAGCTAGGGTAAACATATACAAAATTCTGAATTTATACAATTAGGAGCCGAATTATACAAATTCTGGATTTATACAAATCAGACGAACTATACAAATCATGTGAATTATACAAATCAGGCGAATAATAAGAATTAAGAAAATTGTAGCCGCGAATTACAATTTTCTTAAACTGTAGGTATAGTACCTAATATAGGCTAAATGTTTGTTATTCTGCATAATTTCCCCCTTTTTAGTTGTCATTTAGATTTTGTTTGTTGAATTTTTTTTGTAAATAGCCTTTAGAATTGACAAAATATATATTAGACATTATAACATTTTTTCATAAGATTTTCAGTTCGTTAAAGTGAATTTGTAGATCGTGATCTAAAAGATCCATAGAATTATAAGAAACATAAAAAGATGATCATTTACTAAACAACTGTCTTGAAAAGACACGATCAACACAAATTTCTA